AAAAAATTATATTATTAAATCTAAATCAAATTACTTTGTTATTAAACCTAAATCAAATTATAATAAGAAAAATTAAAATTAAAAAAAATTACACAAAAAAATTAGAAATTTTAAATAGTTAGTTTGATACTAATATCTATATATTTTTTCAAATTTATATGATATCTTCACATCTATATCTGATGCAAAAGTAAAAACATTATCATTTTCTTAAAACCACATCAAACTATATTATAACATCGAAAAAGAAGCGAAACATTAAAGTCGAGATGTATCTCGCTGAATTGCGTGAGTACCCTTCTAGTAATAAATAAATGTTCCGCTCTCATGATAATCATTTTTGGGGATTTTCTTCAAATTTAGAGATTTTTGCACTCTGTCTCCTATTTTATCCATTTTGGATAAAGTTTTCCGGAATCTATTGAAACAAAAAAGTGCTCAAAATCCTTATTTTTCTTCGTTTTGGAGAAGTTGTTGGAGATGCTTTTATAATTTGCTTTAGATGTTTTGACTTTACTTCTCTATATTAGAAAAATTATAAAGAAGTTGTTGAAGATACTCTTACTAATATTCTCAAAATTTCAGATTTTTATGTGTACTCCTCATTTGCATACAACCCAAAAACTTCCTACTTGTTGTCCTCCTTTTTTATAGTATCAAGTGTCGTTTTATCAAACGCTTACCCAAGTAAGCACTTATCAAGTCATTTTACTTTACCGGATGAATATGACAATAACTAAAAATCCTACCCAGTAAGAGCGAAGACAAGAATCAAGAGCCTTACCCGGTAAGTGAGGATGATGACTCTTACCATATTTAACTCTTACCGGGATAAATTGTTGTATACGAAGCATTTTAGTGAATAAAATCTTACCTGATAAGTAAGCAATAGTATTGAACTTTACCGATAAATGCTTACCGGGTAAGTGTTTAGGTAAACGTCCCCTTAGTTGCCTCATTTTTCTTTCAATTACATTATTCTAAATTAAATTTTGCAGCTCCTCTTGCATCGTTTGTACCCTTTTACCTGATATAACAATGATTGAGAATCTTATCCAGTAAATGAAGATATTAACTTTTACCCGATAAGTATTCACCGTGTTATTAACTTTTGCCATTATCAATCCATTTTGATGGTAGGGAATGTATTCTCATAGGATAAATAACCACCATTTTGCTGGTACGTCCTTACCCGGTAATCGTTTGATAAACAACCTCTAAGTCTTCTTAACAATATTGAAATTAAGATAAATATTATGTAACATCGGGTTTTTATAGTTAATCCTTCAAGAGTGTAGATTTGTTTTAGCAAATCAGTCAGTGTCCATCTATTATTGAATGTTCATGACTTTTGATTCAAGAGTCATGTTAGATTTGGGATAAGGAAAATTTATGTTGGAGGTCATCTGAGGTATTAAGAGACCTCCGATGCAAGTTCGATTACTCAAGACGTCGCAAATCAGCTTAAAAACTCCATAAAATGTCAAGCTGAAGACCAACATCAGGCTTTTTAAAAATTATTCAATCATTATTTTATGTTTTTCCACTTTTAAATTTTACGATAAAGCATGTTATTTCTGTTCAAGATACAAAAAATCTTTATAATGATTTAAACGAAATCATGTTATGTCTCACCCAAGAAAACAAGATTGGGATTTGAGGTCAAATGTAGCCAAGACATTTTCATGGCTTCAATTTCAAACATCATGATGCATGTTATAATAAATCCAATAAGATCGATCGTGTGTCCAACAAGTTTTTGATTTGCCTATCAAATTTATTAAAATCTAGACGATTGAATTATTATGATTTTAGTTGTACTGTGTTTTTTATTCCCTTAACCACATTTATGATTTATCCGGGGGAAGATGAAATGTTAAAAAGGAGGGAGGAAAGGACCCAATCAAAAATTCAAAAAAAATTATAGGTTAAAATTTAGGTTTTACATGATTTATCTTTCACTTCCCTCCATTACATTTTTCCACGGGCCCCCAATCCTAATCGAAACCGTTACTCTAACCAAAAAAATATGTTGAAATCAATGAAAAAACCAAAAAAGTTATTCGAAATCGACAAAAACACTAAAAAATCTCTCGAAATCAACCAAAAAACTTTAAAATTTCTTCGAAAACGTTGTAATTAGGTTAAAAAGCATCGGACGATTTTACGGGTCTTTTAGTCTACCTTAAGGTGACCCCGTTGACCAAAAATCATGGATCCGTCACTGGATTTATCCATTGCAACCGGTGGTCGAACGAAAGGTGGTCGGAGGTCATGGAGATTGACATAACAAGAATTATAATATTTAATGATTTATATAAAATTTATAATTAAAATAAAACAAATACTTCATTATATACATATTTATAACATGTCATAAATTTTTATTATAAAACATATATTTTAAGAAGATGATAGGTATCAAAATGCCACTGATAAACTGTTATTTGTATTGTATAAACTTATTTATGATAAAAACTAAAAAATAAAAAGTTTAAGATGGAAAATAAGTTGGATAATTTTTCTCAAATTATGAATTATTAGAAGGATACTCGCATAATGCAACGAGATATATCTCGATTTTAATGTTTCATTTTATTCACTTTCTTTGTCGGTATGATATGGTTTTATGTGATTTTTAGAAAACAATTAATATTTTAATTTTTTAATGAAATATAAAATTGAAAAAAAAATACCTATACTAAATTAATTATTTAATTTTTTTGTTTTTTTTTTGTGTAATTCTCTAATTCAATTTTTTATTCTAATTTAATTTAGATTTAAAAACAAAGTAATTCATTTTTGTTTAATAATATAATTTTTATAAGAATGATAATTAAGTATTCTGTTAAAACCCAATAATTATCCTAATTATATTTTATTTTTTATTTTTAAAATAAGATGTTTATCATGTATTTGATTATGTTTATCTGTAGTTAGTTATACGAATTCAAAAATATAGCTTTAATAAGTTGTACTTACATACAATTTACTTGTAATATTAAATTTTAAGTAATATGAATCAATAAACAATATTTCATGCATAAAAATGATTTTTAAGAATTTCGTCAAATGATTTATGATACAGTGTAAATTTGTAAGTTTTATTACAAATTAATTATTTTACTTGTTAAAATAAAAATAAAAATAAATCAATACATTAGGTAGAGAGATGTGATTATGATTATCGTACTTATGATTTCGTTATAAATTAATTATTTTTAAAATCGCAAATCATATATATATATATATATATATAATTATGATAATTACAAGATTATATCATGAAAAATCGTCCTTGTGGTATTGTAAAGGATCATGGTTTTCATTCCTAAACTTTATTATATTGTAAAAAAAAACTGCCATATAAAAAATAGAATTTCTATCAGTTGCAATGTAAGATATAACTGATATTACCACAAGCTATAGCTACATGTATATTAACACCAACTAATCGTTCAAAATTCAAGACTAAATCACACCAGATCATGGTGTATTTTAAGCAAAAAAATTAGGGTGTTTGAAAAAGTTTTTTTCCATAAATAGAAAGTGTAGATATTTCCGGCTTCATCACAATTTAACCCCCTCCACAAACACGTCATTAGAATTTGATGGTTGATCTCAAATTAGAATGCGGTATAAATATATGTGAGGCCTTTCAAGGGCCTATCTTACACCCCTTCTTCTTCCCTTCGTTCCAATCCTTCATCTCCAATATTAAGCAAAATACATATTGGAATTGAAGGGTCGAGTTTGTTGAAAAAAGTAAAAGTTTAGAGCTTCTGACTTGAAACGTCGCCAGGCCCAAGATAATTTATATTACTCTTGGACCAGGCCTCATTCCAAGCCAGAGGGCTCAACGCAACTTGCCGCATGCTCAAATAGGTATCTTCTTTTTCCTTTCTGCGTTTAATGTTTCGTCATCGAATAAAATGAACCAATTATGCCTCAATGAATTATGGAAATCGTATTTTGTAGAATAATATATAACGAAAACATTAGAATACATAAGAAAAAACAATGGACGTATTATATACGATGGTTACGCTAGATTTTATTTTGACAAAATGCTTAATCTAGAAAGTCACTTCCATATTCCTTCCTGTTTGACCAAACAAATCTTAATTGTTACATAATCATTTCTATATGTGTGTGTGTGTATGTATATATATGGGTGTGATTTAACGAATCCGTTAGACTAGACCAAAAAGTGACTAAATTTGTTAATTATCGTATATTCTAGGGACTATTTCTGTAAACATGAAAAATTTGGTCTCTATAATTTGTCAAAAGTAGTATTTTTGGTTCTTGTAGTTTAGAAATTGTCAAGTGACTACTGTGGTTTGTAAAATGCACATTTAGTTCCGGTTTCTATCCACTGTTAAAAAATTCCATCCAATGAAAGACATTTTCGATTTTTTATCGATTTTTTTGTACTTTACCCAATCAAAAACCAAAGAACGAAAATCATGAAATGGATTTTGATTGGATAACAGAATAAAAAAACCGATAAAAAACAAAAATGCTTCATATTTAACAGAATTTTTAACGCCCTTTTAAGTAAGAGATCAGATTTGGACATTTTTTTCAAACCACAATAATCATATTTTAATTTCGAAACTATAGAACCAAAAAGTGTTACTTTTGACAAACTACAAGGACCAAACTTGTAGTTTTACTCTAAAAATTGACTATGAATTGCCTTCATCTCTCTCTGGTTCACTTGCTCAGTTGCTCTACGACTTTCTCTCTGCCCCCATTTTTATCTTAATTTCAAAAATTAAATATAGAAAAGGGAAACACAGTGGTGAGTAATCGAGTGTATAACCGTGGCAAAAATCGCTACTAATAATGGTTAATTAACAAACCCCACAAAGATCAAAGCTTCACAAATGCTTCATTCCATTCAATTCTCACCCACATTTGATCAATCTTCATAGATCTGATTTCCATTGTTGCAGTTCCTCTGTTTCAGTTCAAGGTTTTAAAAGGAAGAGAAAATGGCGGACGTTGTGCCTGGGGAGAGTCTGATGCCGGGGTACTTACCGGGGATGCCCGTGGATTTGGCGACGGAATTTGGGATGATTTGGGACTTAATAAAGGCGCCATTGATAGTGCCATTGCTGCAATTAGCAGTTTATATCTGCTTAGCAATGACTGTTATGCTTTTCGTTGAAAGACTTTATATGGGTGTTGTTATAATCCTTGTAAAACTCTTCTGGAAGAAGCCTGAACAACGATACAAATGGGAACCGATTCGTGAAGATGTGGAAAATGGGAGTCAAGCTTATCCCATGGTTCTTATTCAAATCCCAATGTTCAATGAAAGAGAGGTCAGTATTTCTTGCTGAATTTCAGTCCAATTTTGAGTTTTGTATCATGATTTCAAGATTAAAGCTTTATGAATAGGTATACAAGATCTCGATTGGTGCAGCATGTAGTCTTTCATGGCCAGCCGATCGACTCGTGATTCAAGTTCTCGATGATTCCACTGACCGCACCATTAAGGTACATCTATATCGATATATCCGGTAAGAAATTACTTGTATAGACATGTGCATACTGCATAGATGAATGAATGGTTACCGGAGTGTTCGTCCTATAAATTTTGATCATTTTTCATCAAATTCACCATCTGGGTTTGCATCATTTTTCAAAATTTCAACAATTTTTTGGGTAATTTGTTGTGTGCTTGATGTGGTTTTGTAGGATATGATTGAGAAAGAATGCAAACGTTGGGCAAGCAAAGGAGTTAATATATGGTACCAAATTAGGGGAAGTCGGGGAGGTTACAAAGCTGGTGCACTTAAAGAAGGATTGACTCATGATTATGTTAAAGACTGTAAATACGTCGCCATCTTTGACGCCGATTTCCGGCCCGAACCGGATTTCCTCCAGCGAGCCATTCCTTTTCTTGAGTTCAACCCGCAACTCGCCCTTGTTCAAAGCCGGTGGCGGTTTGGTAAGTTGTGGCTCCACCCTCTATTTCTGTCCTTTTTTTACTTATTTTTTATATAAATTACCAATCATATTTGGAACGACCAAAAAAATTGGAGAACGACGAAAAACCGATGTAAAAATATATTAAAATGGATGTCGATTTAAAGATAATAAAGTAATTGTTTGTTTGGTGTAATTTGTTTCACTTAATTTTTTTAGTCACATCTATTAGATCATCTAAATCCAACGGTACGGTGTGCATCGAGCGGGTTCACGTGGACAAATTGAAAATCCGATCGGATTTCGGATATAGAAACCAAGCTCTGAATATTGGTTTTCAGATTTCAGATTGCTTCGGTTTGATCGGGTTTGAGGATTATTTCAATTGATTGATAGTATTGATGAAATCGACATAGGTTTTGAAATTAGAAAACAGTACGACCAACTTAAAATGATAATTAGATAAATAAATATATTTATATAATATTTAAAATATATATTTTGGTTTTCGGACGGATCGGGTGATCAAAAATCAAACTCAACTCGAACCCAAATATCCCTCTAAAATTCGGGTTTTGAAATTTTAAATTTCATAACATTCGGGTTTTACATAAACACCTTATTTTCGGTTCGGATTCAAATTCAATTTGGGGGCATTGAGATTTTGACACCCCTACGTATAGATTAGGAAAAAAGATCCAGAAAGAAAAAAGGATTTGTACTTTGTGAATGTAGTATGCCATGGCGCAAAGAGTAATGACGTAAATGCCCAGCACATGTTCCGGAAGCAAGTAACTGACCACCCACGTTACTCGGTATAATTATTAGGTTGCTTCTTGCTTGGCTTATCGGGGTAGGTTTGTCATTTACTATCTATGACTTTTTCAAATTAGCTTCCATGTATCTAATTGATTTAATAACAACTCTAAAATTAACGGTCAAGAAAACCTCCAATAGCTCCGAACTGATGACCAATTGAGAACAAACACAAGACGTCTACATTTTTTTTATTAACCTGGATATTCAACTCGTTATGCGAGCTAACTAATCCTAGGACGACCACCTGCTTTGCAGATAGTTTAGAGTCACCGCATTTGAACCTCCGTGACCACAAGAGTATTTTTATTCTTCTTTGGATTTGAATCTGGACTTCCTGGTACTTTTGATCGTTGGAGTCAAGCTCAAACCAATCAGGCATCACCCTAGTGGTTAAAGACCTCTACACTTTTTTGTCTCAAAGTTTTCTATATTTTTTAAATTACTGGATTTTTATGTTTGCAGTGAATGCCGATGAATGTTTATTGACAAGAATGCAAGAAATGTCACTGGATTACCATTTTACAGTGGAGCAAGAAGTGGGATCAGCCACTCATGCATTTTTTGGCTTCAACGGTAACTAATTCATTTATGAATAAGCGTTAAAAGTGAGAAAGGTAAGAAGAGATTTGAACCTTTGATGCATTTTTAATCTTAAATCAGTTGATGAATTGCGCTTTAAAAAGAAATTGATATAATGTATCTCATTACACTTGATCTAGTGTTTTTCTCTAATTAACATTAATCCAAAGGTGAAAATCTCTTCTTTCCCTTCTCATCGTAATTTTCATTCTCATCGGAATGCAACCGAGGAACCATTATTATTAATACCCAAAACTAACCTAGGGGCAATATCATGATTTACCACAGGAACGGGCGGTGTGTGGAGGATCGCTGCCATCAACGAGGCCGGTGGATGGAAGGATCGGACAACCGTCGAAGACATGGATCTGGCGGTCCGAGCCAGTCTCAAGGGATGGAAATTCCTCTATCTCGGTGACCTTCAGGTAACTTCATTTGTTTCGATTTTTATTTTGAAAAACTAATTTCAAAATCATTGATTTTCTTACAGTATGTTCTCTTAATTGCATCAAACTTTGATTTGTATCTCGTGTTCGGGTGTTTTTCAATAAATTGTCGACCTAATAAAACAGGTGAAAAGCGAACTTCCTAGCACATTCAAAGCGTTCCGCTTCCAACAACATAGGTGGTCTTGTGGTCCAGCCAATTTGTTCAGGAAAATGGTGCCCGAGATCATTAAAACTAAGGTTAGCTACGCTCGTTAATTAGTTCGTATTTATTTTGCATATCGTATGTATGTATGTATGTATGTATATATAAATGCGAGTGTCATGTGGGTGCAGCAAGTGACATTATGGAAGAAGGTGTACGTGATCTATAGCTTTTTCTTCGTACGAAAGATCATCGCGCACATGGTGACGTTTTTCTTCTTTTGCGTGGTTCTCCCGACCAGCATCTTGGTCCCGGAAGTCCATATCCCGACCTGGGGATCCATCTACATTCCTTGCATCATCACCACATTGAATGCAGTCGGTACACCAAGGTATACATATGGAACCTATATAAAATTGATTAGGAACCCGGGAATCATCAACAACAAGACACGTAGCATGATCATCAGATATATGAACGTGTTATTCATCAATAATGTTATAACATATTCATCATGAATGTGCGATTCATGATAAATAACACGTCCATACTCATCATCAATGTGTTATTCATGATAAATATTCATCTTCAAGAGAGACACGTGACGCACTGTGGGCGGTTTCTGGGTTCCTAATGGAACTTCTCTCTGTATTAATATGATATGGTTTTTTTATGCTTCTTTTGGGGGATATGTGGGACCATGATTAGATTAATCTTCTAAAAACCTTTGGGAAACATATATTGAAAAGAAATTATTTAAATCTAGCTGATCTAGAACACTAACACTTATAAATTGTATGTAGATCGATCCATTTATTGTTCTACTGGATTCTTTTCGAGAACGTGATGTCGTTGCACCGAACCAAGGCAACATTCATCGGTCTACTTGACGCCAAGAGATCTAACGAATGGGTTGTGACCGAGAAACTCGGAGATACTCTCAAAAACAAAAAATCAACTCCCAAAGCCGCACCATCACTCCGAAAGACCAAAACTTATAACTATCGAGACAGGTACATTAAGCTACAAATCAAATTAAACGTATAAAATTAACGATCAACGACCTATACACGCATTGACATATATATACATTCCGGTGTGTGAAATGATCCAGGATTCACGTTACGGAATTGGGGTTCGCGGCGTTCTTGTTCTTCATCGGATGCTACGATTTTATGTACGGAAATCACCAGTATTTCGTATACATATTCCTTCAAACGATCACATTCTTGATCGTGGGATTTGGTTATGTTGGCATCACCGTCGTCCCAAGATGATTAATTTCGTAGAAATTAAAGACCTTTATTTTCTCTACCGATTGAAATTAAATGGATTGAAAGTAGATACGATTAATTAGAGATAACATGGTAGCGTTTCGATCCATGTTTAGAAGAGATTTGAAGATGGAGATCTGCAGATCAGAGAAGAAGTCCAGACTTTGATGAGTAATTAATTAGGGTCTGTGACAAATTAAGATAAGCATCGGCGGTTAGCGTATATACATACACAATTATATATGTATAGGTCAGAAGAAGAATTACAGCATCCCTTTAGACTTCATGGTGATGTTTTCCTTCATTTCCGATTCCGACTTCATGTAAATGAACTTTATTTTTTTCAATTTTGTAATTTCTTTTTTCAGAGGGAAATAATATTATGTTTTTCCATTTTTTTTACTTCCTTTTGCTTGTGTTTTTAGAAACGTAGGATCGAGAATCTTACATGATAAGTGAGTGTGGTGGTGAGTTTTATCAGGTCAGATTATTGCGTACTATGCTATTTTGATTGCCGATAATTCTACTTGATAAGTTAAGTGAGAATGGTGACCAGGGACGGACCCAAGTAGTGCATGTGGTGGCACGGGCCACCGTTTTGTTCCTTCATCGCAGTGTAAAAAAATTTAAGGTCGTAAAAAAGCACCACCATATCAATTTGTTATGTGTCACCGTATGTATTTTGAAATTACAATAAAAACACAAGTTTTCATTAGTATAGTTGGTTTGTAAGACTTTTCTTCCACCTAGATCTAAGTTTGAATCTTGTTGGTGTCATTTTCTTAGTTTTTAGCTTTTAATTTTATATTTATTATGTTTCTGAAAAAAAAAAGTTACAATAAAAGACTTACACTGGACCTCACATATGAAAAATAGTGAACTAACCAACAAATCAATAATAATTTTGTGAAAAATATTTTTATATATGTTTCTTATAGTCAAATGGTGGAAAAAAAAATTCTAAGTCCATTTTTGGTGGTGACCCTTACCAGTAAACTATCGGGTAAGTGTTTGATGAACAACCCCTTAGTGGTAAAATCTCATAGGAACACAACGTTTTGCAACAAAAGTCTGCAAATTCTCTCAGTGTGAATGTTGTTTACAAAAATTGGCCGGGTTGGCATTCGATAATTTAGGTGTCGTTTACTAAATGCTTATCCGGTAAACGCTTATTGGACAATTTTTCTTACTGGATGAACATGACAAGGGGTAAGAATCTTACCCAGTAAGAACGATGATAAGAATGGAGAGTATTACCCGGTAAGTGAGAGTGATAACTCTAACCCGGGTAAGCGCTTACCAGGTAAATTGTTGCATAAGATATGTTTTGATGTACTACAATCTTACCTGATAAAATAAATTAGAATGGAGAGTATTACCCGGTAAGTGAGAGTGATAACTCTTACCCGGGTAAGCGCTTACCAGGTAAATTGTTGCATAAGATATGTTTTGATGTACTACAATCTTACCTGATAAAATAAATTATAGTGTTGACTTTTAACAATAAGCGTTTACCGGATAAGCATTTAGGTAAACGACTTCTTACAAGAAATTAAATGTTAATGGTTTCAACGATCGTAAATAAGAACATAAAGCTATAAATGTATTCAATTGAATTTTCTTATTATTTGTGTTATGTTTGGTCGATATATATTGAATAAGGAGTTTGGTTTGAATGATTTTTTTGATTTGAAATACCGTGGGATGATTGGTTTTTATAAAATTTGTATTTAATAATGTTTTAAAATATTTGTTTTGTAATGAAAACGTAAAATGAAAATTAATTATTTTTATAATTATTTATATTTTGTTTTTATAAAAAATGGAATTTAATTTATAGTATTAAAATAAATGAAAATAAAATGGTGGCTGTGGGGTTCGAACCCACGCGCACTTATGTGCAGAAGATCTTAAGTCTTCCCCCTTAACCACTCGGGCAAACCACCTTGGTGTTTGAACTCTTTTTTAAACATTTAAATAAATACAAAATCCGTACAAATAGAAGCATCCAGAAATCCAAATCTAATCTTCTGACACACATATATAATCTCTTCCTCCGTTCGCATTTTTCTCTCTTTTTCTACACACAAAATTGAAACCCTAGAGCGACGAGAAGATCAACTACTGGAATTGCTCATCAATGGCGGAGCATTTGGCATCGATCTTTGGAACGGAAAAGGACAGAGTCAATTGTCCATTCTACTTCAAGATTGGAGCATGTAGGCATGGCGATCGCTGTTCTAGGCTTCACACCAAACCAAGCATTAGCCCCACTTTGCTGTTGTCTAACATGTACCAGCGCCCTGATATGATCACTCCTGGTGTTGATGCTCAAGGAAATCCCATCGATCCTCGGAAAATCCAGGATCACTTTGAGGTACACTAACTTCTTGTTCCACCTGTTTTTTTGTTTCATTCGATTGATTATATGTTTCATTTGTCAACTGGTTATTAGATTCGCATATCTCGTTACTATATTGCCAATTGCATGTTAGGTGTAACAATCTGTTTATAAAAGAAGCCGTGAAGCTTAATATGATTACCAATTTTTGATGCATGAGTTTAGGATCGATGATAATTATGATTTTGGAAAGTAATAAACTGGATAGAATCGAATTGTGACCTGGTTTGCATTCATTGTAGTGCATCTGTTCACAAGCAGAATGTTGATCGTTCCGAGGTTAAGTTAGGTCGTTTGGTTTAGATTTAACATCGCTCAGTTATTAATCAAACTTATTTCTTGTATTATCATGTTTTAGATTGGTTTTTTGCAGTTTTGGTTGGTTAGATATAGATTGGCTCCTTTAGGCGGTACTTATTGGTTGAAGAAAGCTTCTTGGTGCAACTTAGTTTTTTGGCATCTTGAACAATTAAAGTAGTCCTGCTCTTGTTTTGAAATATCACTACTAAGTTTTCAGGTTTGCTAGAAAAGCCATGCGAATTTCTTTTGCTGTGATGGCTTTTAAACATGGTGGACTTCTGGTTGCGTAAACTTGCAGTTTCTTGAAATCCTTTGCTTACTGTTAATATCACCATTGTGGGATCTTTGCATTTAGCTTCTTTCATCGGTCTTTTTCATGTCAATTTTTACAATTTGAACTGATGCCTTAATGTCCGAGTTTCTCTGATCAAATTTTAGGATTTCTATGAAGATCTTTTTGAGGAGCTCAACAAGTATGGGGAGATTGAAAGCCTGAATGTCTGTGACAATCTTGCTGATCACATGGTAAATCTCTGAAGTCTGCCTACCTTGCATCTGTTAAAACATCCTCTAATGGTTCCCTTGCTGGTTTTATCAGGTGGGAAATGTGTATGTTCAGTTCAGGGAGGAAGAGTATGCAGCAAAAGCACTGAAGAACCTTAGTGGAAGATATTATGCCGGTAGTCTTCTGATTATTTCTTGGATTTAAATCATTGTTGCATGGATATCTAAAATATTTGTTATTTTCCACTTCTGTTATGGCATATGAACATATCTGAGAACATTCTGCAGGTCGACCCATCATTGTTGACTTCTCACCAGTGACTGATTTCCGGGAAGCTACTTGCAGGCAGTATGAGGAGAACACGTGCAATCGGGGTGGTTACTGCAACTTCATGCACCTGAAAAGGATTGGCAGGTAATTTCTATTCTTACTTGTCTTTTCTTTTTCCCTCTTCTACTGTCAAAAAGTGTCAGAGTTTATAACAATATATGTTGCGTGTTTCTGATTGGCTATCTTTGTCAGGGAGTTGAGACGACAGCTGTTTGGTAGGTACAGGAGAAGGCATAGTCGAAGTCCCAGTAGGAGCAGAAGTCCATATAGACATCGTAGCTATGATGAGCGGGGGCATGGAAGCCGTAGTCATAGTCGAAGGTATGATGACAGGGACAGGGATTACCACCACGAGAGTCGGTCTAGGAGGCACAGGAGCACAAGCCCTCTTCATCGAAGAGAACGTAGCAGGAGTTCAGAAGGCAGAAGACACCATAGTCCAGTTAGGGAAGGTAGTGAAGAAAGACGGGCCAAAATTGAGCAATGGAACAGGCAAAGGGAGCAAGCAAAACTCAGCGAGACGAATGATGATGGTGTCGAGAATAACTATGAGAGTGATAATTATACAGGGAAGGGTGATGGATACTACAATCAGCAGTCAGAGCAATATGAGCACTGAGTTGCTTTTATTTATGTTGTCTGGTTAGTCTCCCTTTTCTAACCATCATTCTTGATTTCAGATAGAGTGTCGTTCTTTTGTCCTTTGAACCATCTTTGGTCTTACTGCCATTTCCACTGTGCAGGTGGTGTGCAGGTTTACAGTTCTTTGATTTGGATTGTTAAAAATATTGACCTTGTCTTTTCCTTTTTCTTTTTCTTGATTCATTTACATGCATGAGTCTGTCCTGATGAGTTGCATGCATTGCACTTTTAAGTATCCTAACATAACCATTAACCGCCACTTACATGCATGAGTCTCCTGATGAGTTGCATGCATTGCACTTTAGGATCCTAACATAACCATTAACCACCACCCACATGATTTAACACCACCGTTTTGTTCTTCAATTTAATTGATGCCCTTTGCCATTCAAAAGTTCGATTTTTCTATCTCTTACATTGGATATTTGGTGACAATTCAGAAAACCGGGTAATATTTTTCTATTTGGCCATATCTTGTTTCTGTAATCTTATACGAGGGGTAGAAAAAGCTATAGCAGATTCCAGAAAAAAACTATTCAGTTTTAGTACCCAAATTGTTTATCGGTGGACGCAGGAACTTTATTCATACATGCTTGATGTGTTGTGCATTAAATTTTGTTTTTGCAGTCAGGTTCTCTGTGATAAGCACGCATCAAGGCTAGGTGATCTGTTTGAATTTTACACAATATTTCTGTTTGATGGATGTTTTTTAGGCGAATCAATCGAGTTTGCAGGTCCAGGTTGGGCTGCTTCTAACAAGAATAATAAAAATAATGATGAATTGTGTTTACAGGTGATTGTTTTGATGATCGTGTGACAGGGATTTGCAGGGGAAGACGAGAAATGATCTGAATGCAGTGTCTGATGTAATGTAGTTAGGGATGAGAATTAGTTTTAAGTCTAGATTAGACATAGCTGCTACTCATTCAAACATGATCTGAAACCAGTTTCTTGCTATCTTGATTTCCAGTTGAATCGTAGTTTCCTGTGGATGCATTATGAATTAATGCATCATGATTTGTTATTTAAGTTCTTTGAGGGGTCTAAAGGGCTGTCTTCATACTGTTTTTTTGGGCTGTGTGGTTGGTTTTCTATTAAGTCTTGTATGGATAAACTTATTTGTATGGATTAATCGGTTTATACAAGATTGTAGAGGTTTTTGTTTTGAAAGGTTTTTCATAGATGGAATGAGCATGTTTTTTAATTGAGAGTGATAGCTTTGGAAAAAACTTGTCGTTTTACATGAAAATCTCTTCCAGATGTTTATTGAATAAGCCATTTTTTATATTGTTAAGCTTATATCAAACAATAATGTATAACTGATTGAATAAGCTGTGAGTCTGTTAAAAAATACATGTCCTAAATTATCTTACCATTCAGCCATAACTATCTCTGAAATGTATTTTGGCTACTAGAATGTGTGGTGAGGTGGTTTCTTTTTGTTACCATTCATCACATGATGGACATGTTTAGAAAGACGTGAAGAAAGTAAAGTGGGTGAGGTCTACAAACATAGAAGGTTGTGTGAGAGGGTGTATTAGTGTGGGTCTCCAAAAATTTTGGTACACTCTGAACGACGACCACCCTTACAGAAGGGTTACATACACTTTACAAAATTAACCAATCCATCGACCTTGATCACAAGGGTTCCAGAAAGAAAAAACGGTTGAGTTTTCAGATAGGGAAACAAGAAATCATCTGCAAGATTTCAAATCATTGATGAAACCAAATCTCAATACTTGAAACAGCCGATTACATTCAACAAAACTTCCCCATACAGTAACACCAATTCAATAAGACAAGAAAAAAAATTATAATTAATTGCAAAGAACCCATGGTTTTAGTACAAAATTGATACTACTAAGCTTGGTATCTCTGTTTAAGAAAACCCCAAAACCCCACACTCAAATTTAGTATCTACGCTCGTTTGCCGCCACTGTTCTTCTTACCTTTCTTGAAGTTGGGTTTTGAAGAAGGATGCGGGGTAGCTGTGTGACCACCTTTCTTCCCATCTGCAATACATAAAGACGTTTCAGACGTTCAGCACTTTGTTTAACATCAATGATCTATATATGCTATCAACATAAACAAGTGGGTATTAAAAAGATCGATAAAAAAGTTTACCAGTTTTCTGAGGGGTGTTGTTCTTTGCTTTCTTAGCAGGAACAGGTGTTTTCTGTGCAGATTCAGCAGGTCTTTTTGTGGGTGGTTTCACTACCTATATAAATATAACACCTTATTGGATCAAGAAATCAAAACACCACACCTTATTGGATAAAGAAATTGTTACATCACAACTTATTGTGTCAAGAAATTGGAACACCCATATCACACTAGTAGAGCAATAAGTTAACAAGAAAGTGAAAATTGAATTAGGTACCTTTTCCTCTTCAGACTCATCTTCTTCATCAGAGTCAACCTCTTCAGAGTCATCGGAATCATCTTCTTCGTTCACTTCCTTAATAGATGCCTTTGGTTTCGTCTGCAGAGTACCTGAAAATACATGAATACAGGACATATTAACATTCAAACACTAAAAACAACTGTCATGTAACAAATCTCAAACCAGAGCTGAGCACCATACCGTTAGCATTGAAGTTCAATTCGTCTTCTTCATCTGATGAATCTGAACAATATGAAATTTAACGGACCTTTAGTATAAGTAAAGTGATCAATCTTAAAGACTCAAATAACAAAACTCTATTTCATCTGGGACTCACCGAATTCATAGTCATCATCCGTGGAGGCCAAAAAACAAAGCAGGTAGTCAAGGAAACAACATAATCATCCATGTACAATTAGGTATGTTACTAACTCAAAGAGTAGTAAACAAGAAACACAATTAGATGAAGGGACTTCAGTTCAAATTTTAAAATTGAAGACTTTAAAACATCAATTTGAAAATTAAGTTGCAAACAAAGCGGTAAATTACTTAAAGCAAAAATGGCATGTAACAACAAAGGATATTCAATGGGATTATCAGCAACATATCCACAAAAGTAGACACTGCCATCCTTCCAGCCATGTGAGAGCTCCAGATCTTGCTGAAATACCAAATCAAATATAATTTGTGGTGCACGTTCAGAAGACAGAGTCCCCACCACAAACTTTTTGTCATTGAAGTTAACACGAACAGGGATATTCTCCACCTTTTTCCCGTTCTTCACCTCTCCCAATGCAACCTTCATGAAATTATAGTGTATGAAGTACTGATCTTCCATCATTATGAAAAAAAAGCTATATCCTAAACTAATAACTGTTATGATTTCTTCTCCTAAAATGTGATAGAACTCGGAGTAATTACAAAATCAAAATTAGGTTAACATCGACTAGTCTATACAAGGGATGGAATGTCAAATAATCAAATATTCAAATAAAAAGTAATATGAACAGCTTCGATGCATCATTTCATATTGGTTAATCTCCAACTAATTAAAAGCTGATTCCGCCGATCAAAAAACGGATTCGATCAGTAAATACATAGATTGAATGATAAAATGAACGACAGTTTAGAAAGATCAAATGTTCCTACCTGAGAAATGTGTAGGAGCTTGAAATCCTCAACTGTGACCTTAAGGATTTCATTAGGTTTAACCTCAACGCCTAGCAATAAAAACAAACTTCAAGTTGAATGATTGCACACAACAAAACCAGAAACTAAAATACAGTTTACAGTTTGTTCAACGAACAACAAAGAATCAAAGATTTGTGGTATTAAAAACACATAAGAAGAAGAATCAAAGGAAAACGAATCTTACCCCAAAATTCCATTGCTGCAGGTAGTTGATTGAGAGAGACTGAAGGTATGTGGGCTTGAAAGAGTTGGGGAGAAAAGGCGGAATGAGGAAGAGGATGGTTTTGAAAGATGTTTATATAGGTGAAGTTGCCGCCGAAGGTTTAGGGTTTATGAGAGGTTTTGGGATATTTGTGATTTTGAATTGGGCTTGGGCCTTGAGTTATGGTCTGTTGTTATTGGGCCCAATTTGTTCGTAGCTCGGGCTTCCGCTTTTAGAATTTGGGCTTATCACATTTGTAATTTGTATCATCAATAATATCATTACTTTTAATATGATAAATAAAGAGAAAATTGCACCAAAATGGAACCAATTTTCACCTAATTCTTATTTTGGAAAACCAACTTTCAAAATCGTCATTTTGGGGAACCAACTTGTACTTGATTTCTATTTTGGGGAACCGACGTTCAAAATCGTCATTTTGGGGAACCAACTTGTACCTGATTCCTATTTTGGGGAACCAACTTGCAAAATAATTATAGAAAAATAATTAAAATTCTTTTTTTTCCAAAAATTAATATAATAAAATCTATTTTTCATTTTAAATCTCGTTTTTTTAATTCAGATATCAAATTAAACATTTTTTAAAAAAATTCAAATTACCACAATAAAAATTATTTTTTACTAATGCAAAAAAAATCAATTTAATAGAAAAAAATTAATTGATGCAATAAAAAATAAATATTAAATATTACATTCAAGATTTTTATATCTAACCAATTGCATCAATTAAATTTTTTCTATTAAATTGATTTTTTTGCATTAGTAAAAAACAATTTTTATTGTGGTAATTTGGATTTTTTTTTTTAAATGTTCAATTTAATATCTGAATTAAAAAAAATATTTGAAATGAATAATAGATTTTATTGCATTAATTTTTGGAAAAAAAAAACGAATTTTGGTTATTTTTCTATAATTATTTTGCAAGTTGGTTCCCCAAAATGACGATTTTGCAAGTTGGTTCCCCAAAATGACGATTTTGAAAGTTGGTTCCCCAAAATAGGAATCAGGTCCAAGTTGGTTCCCCAAAATGACGATTTTGAAAGTTGGTTCCCCAAAATAGAAATTAGGTGCAAATTGGTTCCCCAAAATATGAATCAGGTGCAAGCTGGTTCCCCAAAATGACGATTTTGAAAGTTGGTTCCCCAAAATATGAATCAGATGCAAGCTGGTTCTCCAAAATGACGATTTTGAAAGTTGGTTCCCCAAAATAGGAATTAAGTGAAAGTTGATTCCATTTTGATGCAATTTTCCCGTAAATAAAATACATAATTTAGCTTGTATATAAAATTTTAGAAACTATGTAATTAATACAAATATTTTCTTAATAATGTTGAAGTAATGATTTGTTCTCGAAACCTTTTCTACGAAAGAAATTTCTTCCCAAATTCGAGAACATGGCATAAAGGTACTTCAAATTAAATAAAATACGAAAACCTTTGTCGCCATGGAGATTTACCTATGATGAATTTGGATCATTTATGACATGGCAAATTGCATGAAAAAGTAACGTATTTTAACTTGATTTCTATTTTGGGTAACGTACTTTCAGAACTTCTATTTTGGTATCTAACATGTAAAGTTTTAAACATTTAAGTACCCGGGTAATCGATTGAAGCATTAACCGGTTATCATGCTGATGTGGCAAGTGATGTGATATTCAACTCAGTATTATTTGCTAACGTGATTAATGAGATAGATTTTTTTGATTTAAAATTAGTCTTCAACCGGTAATCCGGGTAATTAAATGTTTAAAATTTTACATCTTATGTACCAAAATGAAAGTCTTGAAAGTACGTTATTCAAAATAATGAATCAAGTTACAGTATGTTACTTTTTCATGCAATTTGCCCTTTATAATAATCTAAAAGATTAATCGATACGTACAAACCGACCGAGATTAAAAAAATGCAATAAACAAATAAATCAACATATCACTTTCTCAAATGACACAATGGATGAGCTTCTTATTTATATTACATATGTTTATGAGAGGACTCAACTTATAATAAAACCCAATGTAATTATTTCCCAATAAAACAACAAAGCCTTTGTTAACAATACATGAGAAGGTGACGTTTGGTTTGCAAAATAATTTTTAATGAAAAATATTTGTTAAAAAAATTGAAACATAAAGAATCATAAAAATGAAATTTAATCAGATTTAATAATGTATTTGGTTGACAAAATTTGAATGAAATTTACAAAGATTTAACTATCTGTTTTGGTTGACAATTAGGATATCAATGATTCTAGTTTTTAACAGAGCTAAGCGAGCTCGTTTATCACAAGCTCGCTTCAATAATTCTTGAGTCCAAGTCGATTTCCAACACGTTGTCCAACATAACGAGTCGAATATTGTAACACCAAAGTTCGTCTCGGCTCGTTCTGATGCTTAATTAATTTTATCGAGTCACGTCGAATTGAGTCATTCAGGCATACATTTCCTCAAAGCAAACACGTTCATGAGTTTATAAACCACACAAAACAAGATAAAACATTATTGGCTTCAATTCAAGAAATAAGTTAATCGATCTCGAGTTCGAGTCCACAAACAATTTTACAAAGCTTTAGAGGCCGTTTACTAAACTTTTACCCGATAAGTACTTATTGGGCAATTTTCCTTACCGGATGAACATGGCAAACGGCAAAAATCTTACTCGGTAAGAGCGATGATAAAAATGGAGAGTTTTACCCGGTAAGTGAAGATGACGACTCTTACCTGGGTAAGCGCTTACCAGATAAATTGTTGCATAAGATATGTTTTGATGTTCCACAATCTTTTCCGATAAAATAAATTATAGTGTTGACTTTTAATGGTCAACGCTTACCGGGTAAGCATTTAGATAAACGGACCCTTAGTTTTAGGTGTAATGGATAAGTTAAGTTTGTGATTATGATTCTTCTAAAATTTATTGATTATATAATTACTAAATTATTTAGAGAAGATCTAAAAAAGATTTGAAATGGTTGCATCAACTATTTATCGTAATATACAATAAAAATTGATTAAAAGATATGGTTTTATCATATACACGTACAATTAACATTAAAAATATGTTATTTTTTATGTTAGAATAAAAAATATTTAATATTAGACACGTTTTTAAGGTATCGACGAAATCTTTTTAACGGTGTAATTTGCAAAAAAAAAATGCATATTTTTAATTTACCTTAGCTAATAATTAATTAACTAGTTAATATTATTAGAGTATATAAATTTGAAATTGACAAAGGACGGGAGGTAAATTAAAATCATTAAAGTATTTGAATGGTTAAAAACGTAACTAATTTCCAACCACCATCCTCAGCTTCGGCTTAGATTTTAATGTAAATGGTTTTAGCCCAAAAAAATATGTTTAACATACATATATCTTAAAAGATTTACACTTAGGGGCTGACTATTAAACGATTATCCGGTAAGTATTTACTGAGCAATTTTCCTCACCGAATGAACATGGCAAGGGGCAAGAACCTTACCCGGTAATAACGATGATAAGAATGGAAAGTCTTATCCGGTAAATGAGGGTGACGACACTTACCCGGGTAAGTGCTTAGCGGGTAAGTGCTTAGCAGGTAAATTGTTGCATAAATACGTTTTGATGTACTACAATTTTACCCGATAAAATAAATTATAGTGTTAACTCCTAAAGGTAAATGCTTACCGGGTAAGCATTTAGGTAAACGACCCCTAAACCATGTTTATGGTTTTACGGACAACCATACCCTAAATGATAGATCCAATTCTACAATTATTAATTTATTATTAATATTAAATATATCTATCACTATGAGATGATGCTATTATGGACGACTATTACTAATAATAATTTTATTATTAAATAATAATATAATGATCCTTAAATGATATTATTATAGTAATCATTATTATGATTCCTTAAATAATAATAATAATGACAGAGACATTCAAACTAATATAAAACTCCAAACTTATCTATATTATATTATAAAGTATTTGATTAAAACTTTTAAAAACTATTTTTTATGCATAAAGTACTGTATATTGATGCATTTTACTTAAAATTCAAGATTACAAGTAAATTATGCATAAATACAACTTATTAAAGTTTCATGTTTGAATTCGTGTAACTAATTGTGGATAAACATAATCAAATAGAGGATAAACATCTCATTTTAAAATATAAAAAATCTAAAATATAATTAGGATAATTATCGAGTTCTAACAAAATAACTAATTATTATTTTTTTTAAAAATTATATTATTAAACCAAATATAAATTACTTCGCTATTGAACCTAAATTAAATTATAATAAAAAAAATGAAATTAAAAAATTACACAAAAAATGAGGAATTTTAAATAGTTAATTTGATACTAATATCGATATATTTTTGTCAGATTTTTATGATATTTTCAAATTTATATTTTATTCAAAAATAAAAACATCATCGTTTTTTCAAAATCACATAAGACTATACTATAACATCGATTGAGATAAATAATAAAGTGAAATATTAAAATCAAGATGCATCTCGCTACATTGCACGAGTACCCTTCTAGTAACTATTAACACAAACGGGGCATTCTTGGGAGAGTGGGACCCCCGTAATGTTGATATTTTTTTAATATACAGTAGTAGTTTAAAAGAACCAGTAAATAAAAAAACACAAATTTAGTTAGCATTTAATAATACCCAAAAAAATCATATTATATTAAGGACCCAATCATGTATTAATTAATTATCTTGGAAAAAAATACGTAAATAATTTATTGGCCGTTTATTTCATAGTATTGCTTATTGTTTCTCCAAATTTTTTTTATGAAGTACCAAAAGTCTAAATTTTACTTGTTTAAAAATTCTTGATATATTTCCTATTATTCATGTCTCACTCACTCTTTTGATTATTCCATTTGCATGATTTCTATTTTTGTATTATAATATAGTAAATTTATTATTGACATCATATAAGAAAACTCATACTAAAAGTTGAAAATGATGATGAAAAACATTAATATGAATTCAAATGGAAATCCAACCGATTTATATTGATTTACACAAATATTACTTTGAAATAGTCAACATTATGACCTCAAATGAAGTCAAACTAAATATTAAAGATATGTCATAAGATGTTTTTTTACGGTGAAGCGGATTGACGATGCTATGTAAAAACTAAAAATGATATGGTAGATATAGAAATAATTATTGATTGATTTTGCATCTAGCAATAGTCAGAAAAATGGTTTTATATGAGTTATTAGAGGGTGTTTGGGATTGCTTATCAAAATAACTTATTGACTTATTCCGATGTGGCACCGGTAATAAGCACTTTTGAGTGTTTGGATAAACAACTTATACCGGTGCCAAACCGGTGATAAGAAGTTTTTGAAGAAGTTAAACCCTTTTGACTTATAGTAAGTTGATAAATGCTTTTGTAGAATAAAATAAGTTGTTTCAAATAAGCAATCTCAAACACCCCCCTTATTAGTATAAACAATGTATTAAAAAAATCATACTCATCAAAGATCCTTTTTTACATCTCCCCCAGGTCTTATAAAATATCAGGAACAAGTTTGAACAGAAACAACATTTTTGTAAACAGAACATAGACCATATGTATACGTGAAGCAATTTCACCAATAATTTATTAGATGTTTGACATAACAGGAAATGATATTTTTTTTTGCCTTCATCTAATCTTATTGCTTACTTTTCACTCTTCTCAAAATTTTAAAAGGAAAAATATGGCCCCAAAACTGAATAAAATGATTCGATTTATTTGATGGACTTTGATATGTAAATTTCAACTTTAAAAAGACACGTTCAATCTAATAAACTCATGGACACGATACGAGAGATTTAGGGGTTGTCGGTAGGGGATTGTACAACCTCTAATCGTTTGCAACAGTGTAATTTCTTTTGTAGTTCTTAAAGGTGATGTCATTTTGTTTGGTTGTATGCAACGGTACAACCATAAAAATATCCTTTTAGATATTTCTCTCAATAGAATCAACGAATTCCTATAGGTTACAAACTACGCATAAAGAGAAAATTCATCAAAATAGTCAATCTCATCAACCAAATTTACTTTTTAGACACTTCTGTAATCAAATTCTTATTTTAAGCAAAGTTTATGCAAATGTCTTGTGTATTCAAGTAAAACCAGTTTTCAGATTAAAGAAAAAACCTTTATGCAAATGGCAAAATCTTTACATAAATTTTGATTGAAGACATTTACATAAATTTTGATTGAAAATTGTTATCGAGGATATAAGTTATTTTGGTCAGTTTCCATGCTTAAAGCATGTGAAAACAAAGATGTGAGGACAAAAAACCAAGGGCCTGACAAGATCTGCTTAAAAAAGGACCAATTCAGGATCCAGAAACAGAATAGACGCAAATCCTCGAGTACCAAATTACAATTGATACAGGATATGATATTTAAGCTAATACTTTGAGATTATATACTCATACAATTACAAGCTAATCCACCACTGTACAATAATTTCAAACCTAATCATCAATCAATCTTTATTTTGATGAAATTCTGAAATAAGGGTGAACAAATTAACAGATTGAAACAAGAGATTCTTTTGAATACCAACTAATTGGAAACTAACAGATAGTATAGAAATCAATAGGATCAAATCTCACAGCATGAATTCCATGAATCTTAGCCAACCTGCTCCACCTTTCGTCACTTTATCCGCTTCATTCGAGCAGCTTGATGATGGTGGCGTTGATGTAGTCATCCCACCGTAACCAACTCCGATTTCACCATGGCCACCATTATTTCCGGCGATGCTGGACGCTTGCTTAGGACACAGAAAGAAATTCCGTGAACCTAATTCATTCAACGTCTCTTCTGGTGCTAAACCTGTCAATTGACGGCATGTAAGCGATCAGCAACATATTTTGTAAATTAACATCAATAGCGTGGAGCGTGCAACTGGAATAATTACAGAACAATAACTGACATGGTCAAATGCATAATAGCAGACGACTTCTGTTGCGTGACTTGCAAATTAATAGAACTTTTTGCTTTGAATTGGACCTATACAAAATCGATTCAAATACTTGTATAGATTTTGCAACAAAAATGCAAAAAGAAATAGATAAATCTAGATGTGTAACGCAAGTGAAGGATGCACACAGAGATCCGAAAGTTCAATCTCAATGTTCGTTTTTTATGTGTGAGTCTAAATTCTAAAGAGAGACGTATCTTACTTTCTAAACTGAACTGCGAGTAGTGGAGATGGAATCCGGAAGGGTCTAGAGACGGTAAGATCGGCCGCCTGCCTTCCTTGGAGTATTGCCGTAGAGCGGCGGCGATAAGGTCACCAACCGTCGATTCTGGCGATATCAAGACCTGAACGGGACCTAAGCTTCTCTGAACCGTCACGTTAAGCAATAACTTCGTCAGTTTCGGAAGCGGCATCGTCTCCGTCGTAACCGCAACCCTACCGGTAACCAAATTCGGCACCGTCCTCGGTCTAATCAACTTCACAACCATATCTTCAGCCAGACGACCGTGAAACGACATCGATTTCTCCGCTAATCTCTCCTTCTTGTTCTTCCCCTGTCTCTTCGGGCTGCTCTTCCTCGTCGACATCGGTATAATTTTCGTATCTACACGTATATTAATCTACATACACCACGAAATCAAATGTGTTTTCGCTTTTCTACGCACAATATAAATTTTCCATCACCGGAGACGGCGATAGCGGAAGAAGCGGAGTCGGGGGAAACCGGTGGCAGAAGCGGAGCTCAGGCTCTGAAATTTGCAGTTAACAACAGCAACCATAACATAGAATGGCAGAAGTGTAAATTAAGAGCAAATCATGGGTTAAAAAACGAGAGGAATTATATATAGTTGAAACTAAGGGGAAGAATGGTGGCTTTATATATGCGTGTGTGTGGATTTGGATGAGAACATAGAAGGCGATAAGGAATGGGTTAAGTCGTTACTACTGCAAGTTGTTTCGGTGACTGTCACCGGCAATAGCCAGTTCCCTTCTGATCATAGCCTTAACTAACGTGCGCTTGAGTGCGTACCTTTTTAAGGAGTTTTGGGAATGTAAAAAAGCAATCCAAGATTAAATTAGAAAAAAGGAAAGAAAAGAAAAAAAAGTCCCGATAATCTTGAAGAGAATATCTCGATAATATTATTTTACATCTGTAATCTGTTATAAATAAAATAATCCATAATTTAGATATTCTTTTATCTATTATATATATATATATATATATATATATATATATATAGGGGCCTATTCAAAGGAGAATTGAGTTGTTTGTGGTAACTGTGAGAACCAATATTAACCACAAATCAATAGATAAATTAGGAAATTCATAAATTTGGTAATTTTAAATTAAAATCTTAATGCAAGGATATTTTTGGTATTTTAAAACTCTCCTCTCTCCTCTCTTCTCTCTCCGGCCACCGTTCTCCGGCCTCCGGCCACCGTCCTCCGGTGATACCACTATGGTACCTAAAAATATTGACTCTGTTAAACAAAAGATACATTGTGATACCTAATCATATATAAGATGCATAGTGATACCACAGTGTTACATCTTCGATCGACCACACAAACGACATCAATGTGATACCCAAACACATATATGATGCATTGTGATACCATTGTAGTATCACTGGAAGACGGTGGCCGGCGGACGGTGGCCGGCGGACAGAAAAGAGGAGGGAGAAAAGTTGTAAAATACCAAAAATATCCTTCCATTAAAATTTTAATTCAAAATTGCCAAAATTATAAATTTCCTAATTTATCTATTGATTTATGGTTAATATTGGTTCTCACAGTTACCACAAACTAATTAGTTCTCATTGGATTAGGCCCCTATATATATATATATATATATATATATATATATATATATATATATATACCCACTGAGCTAATAGCCCGTCGTGGCGAAAAAAGGAAAGAGAGGGATGGGGTTTCTCTCGCTTTTGGCATACGCCTTTCAGCCTGATCTTAGGCCCTGATCATTTTGAATGTATTCAATTTGAATTGGTATTTTCTCCATTCTTTCATTTGTCTATCATTATAGACAATCCCATCTATATTATCTATGGAAGTCGAACATATATATATATATATATATATATATATATGAGTTAGAGTGAATTACATTGGTAGTCCTTATGGTTTGCTCAAATTTTGAATTTGATCCTTGAAGCGGTGATTCCTAACTTTTTATTTTCATAAGATTTATGATTCCTCCTCTATACAACGTTAGTTAGCAAACCATTATGAATGACTAATATGTCGTTGAATAAACTATAGAGGACTAAAAATACAATATGCTCTAAACTTTAATGTGATTCATGGTTTTTTCTTACTTTTTTATTAAAAAATATTTTATCTATCCAATCACAAATCATATATCTTAAATCAAGTATATATTAAATAAAAATCTTTATATTTATTTAAAAACTATTAAATTCACAAAAAATAACATTAAAAAATCTTAAATTTAGAAAAATAAAGGAAATTAGATAAATGCACGTATATTTTGAGTTAGAAATTAAAATATGCAAATAAAACATTTGAAATTAAGTTTGGTTAATGTGGGATTATCACTATATAGTTAAATTAGAAATAATTAAATTCAAAAATATTAGGAAAAATTATCACTACAATAAAATTAGATTTATATGACGCCAAAAGAATTAAGTTTTATAATAGACAATTTTATAAGACTTAATTTATAGGACCAAAAAATAAAACGTCTTATCTAACGGTGTTGCAATAAGTTTATACGACTCTGTTGAACATCCTAACAAAAATTTTAGGATGGTTATAGTACAAAACGTCGCATTAACAATTTTATATGAAACTTTTAAAATAGTTCCTATAAAGAACAATCGTCCTATAAAAATATGGGTTTTCATAGGACGCTTAATATTTTTGGCGTCATTTTAAACTAATTTTGGTGTAGTGATAGCTTTTCTTAATTGTTTGAATAATCAGTGTTTTTTTAATTTTTATTTTGTTGTTATTTTAATTCTTTGTAGTTTGATCGTATATTAATAATATCACGTTAACTGAACTTAATTTTCAATATTTTGTTCGCATATTTCAATTCTCAACTCAAAAGATATGTGAATTTATCTTGATTTCTTTTGTTTTTTTAAACTTGAGCTTTTTTAACGCTAATTTTTGTGTGTGGATTTAATAGTTTTTAAATAAACATAAATATCTTTACTTAATATCTATTTTATTTCAAGAAATTGGATTTACGATTAGATATATAAAATATATGTTTAGTAAAAAACGTGAGTCATATTAAATTTTAGAGCAGATTACAGTTTTGGTTCTTATAGTTTGTTTATAGACCTGTAAGTCCTTAATACTGGTGCTAACTAACTTGTAAAATGGATGGACAATGAGTGTTATAAAAATGAAAAGTTAGGGACTACCGCTGTAGATAGTTTATTTTAAGAACCAAATACAAAATCTAAGCAAACCACAAAACCACCAATGTAATTCACTCAATGAGTTATGACATAGTTGTTGGAACTAAAAAAATCTCTTAAATATTTATTTTAATTAAGATAAGTGTTAGAGGCCGTTTATTAAATACTTACTTGGTAAGTGCTTACCGGATAAATTTTTTTATCGGATGAACATGAGAAAGACCAAGAATCTTATCTGGTAAGAGCGATGAGAATGATGGATAATTTTACCCGGTAAGTGAGGATGACGACTCTTACCAACGTAAGCGTTTACCTATTAAATTGTTGCATTCGATATGTGTTGAAGTACTAAAATCTTGCGCTTCAAAATAAATCGTAGTGTTGACTGCTATCGATAAGCGCTTACCGGGTAAACAATTGGGTAAACGGCCCCTAGAGATTTCGCTCCTACATCACTTTTATTTTAACTCGTTTTATATTTGGAAAACATATTTAACAATATTTTTTCATGAAAAGTTTTACTTAATAATTAAGTAAAACATTTCCAACATTTTCAAATTCCATGCAACTAATTACATTCATTAAGCACTACCTTAATATAATAAGCTTGTCAATCCTTTTCAAAAATATGTTTTGTTAAGATATACATCATTTCTCATCTAAATCAAATATATCAAACTACTGATACTTAAAAATCAATCTAGTACTTATCTAAATCAGATTTATCAAACTATTATTTTCATAAAACACTTAAGGGTCGTTTACCAAACGCTTACTCAGGTAAGTGACACCAAGTCACATTACCTTACCGGATGGATTTGGTAAGGACCAAGAATCTTATCCGGTAAAAGCAAGACAAGGACCAAGAGTCTTACCCGGTAAATGAGGGCGACGACTCTTACCACGGTATGCGCTTACCGGGTAAATTGTTGCATACGTTACCGTCTTGGTGGACTAAAATCTTACCCGGTAAATAAATGACAGTGTTAAATTTTACCAACAAACGCTTATCGGATAAGTGTTTAGTCTCCACAATTATTTGATAAAATTTAAATAATTAAATATATATCTTTGGTATACAAAATGCATATTTTAAATTTTTGATTTAGGGGACGTTTACTAAATGCTTACTCAGGTAAGCGCTTACTATGTTACATTACCTTACCAGATAAATGTGGCAAAGACAAAGAATCTTACCCGATAAAAACGAGAGAAGGAACAAAAGTCTTACTCGGTAGGTGAATGCTACAACTTTTACCACGGTAAGAGCTTATTGTGTAAATTATTGCACTGGTGGACTAAAATCTTACCCGATAAGTAAGTAACGATGTTAAATTTTACCAGTAAGCACTTATTGAGTAAGTTTTTAGTAAACGGCCCCTTAGATAATTTTTGTATTTTTTTAATAAATTTATTGAAATGTGAAACATGTTCTTTATGCAACTTGATGATATTTTGTTGTTAAGGTAAATAATTGGTGTGTAAAGCAAGTGAATTATTGGTGGAAGAATAATGATATAAAAATGCAAATGGAAAAGGGAAGGGACAAAGTTCAAAGAATTAGGTTTGGTTTGGTGGGTTCATTTTTTTTAAAGCATACAACAAATTTGATTTAAAAAGTTGATTATCGATAATATGAATCGGTTCGAAATAAAATCTGTTTGTAAGATGTTACTGGTTCGGAACTGAAAACTCGAGACATTCTTGAATTCAAACAAAATCATTCTATCATTTTACCAACTAAGCTACACGCTAAAGACAGTATAAAGGATTTAATTTTGTGATTTGAACTAATTGTATTTTGTTTTGATCATGGGAATTGGTTATTCGTTGTGTTATATGTTATGTTTTAAAAAAAAATCTTGTTTGTTGACTTAGCTGTTAATTAAGCACTGAGATTTTTGGTTGTTTTGTATATATTTGTATAAAGAATCATGTGTTTGTACACGAATTTAGAATGCCGCATTGTAAGTTTTTTAATTATGATGTAGGATTGATTATATTTGCTCAAATAGTGTAACGTTACTGTATAACTTATTTCATGCAAATGCACCATTGCACATTCTGGTCAAATTTTTGTTTGATAATTTCCGATATTAATAAAATGATTTGAGTTTCAAAATTAATCGGTACGATCGAAGTGGCTTTGATATTTTTTTTTTCCTGTTTGCATACATATGCCATACGCTTACACATGTATTATCTAAAATTGAGCAAATATAAGTTTTCAGGGATTTTTTTCCTTTCATAACCTTTTTCAAAATATAATAATAATAAAAGTGAATTTTTTTAATAAAAACTAGATATTGATTATATTATTAAAATATTATTATTAAAAATTATTTCTCCTTTTTAAACGTTTAATTGAGATTTTCATCCAACAATAAAAAATATATTTACTATTTCTTAATCAATTATAATTAGAATGCTTCCCAGATTCGAAGAATTCCACTTTCTTCTTCATGCTTTCTTGATTTAAAAGAAG